ACAAGACATTGATGCCTGCCTTTTTACCTAGATAATTACTTCTCAAATTTAAAAAAGCCATACACAATTCACTTTGAAGCTATTGCGTCCGAACTATTTATGTCTAATGTTGTTTCCTAAACCAAAACGGAAGTGTACAGTAAGAGAAACAGCTCAGAGACAAAGAACGGCTGCGCCGGGCAACAGCGACTTCTGACGTCATTTTACCAGGGATCAGGGACCGGGGAACAGGGACTAGTATTTTATACTATATTTCTTTGTTATAGTTTATCTTGGTGTAATCGCCTGCAGTATCGAATACAAATACACCCGAAATGTCACATTTCCTCTCGATTGTCAACTTTTAGAAAATGCGAGATTGTTATTTTAAATCGTGATGTCTTTAGATTTTTTGTTGTATACATGTATTGATAAAACTGTTTGCAAAATGATACGAGTTCTTCGTACGCCCTCTCTTAATAATGTGCTGTGGTCTCTGTAGCTAATCATCAGACACTCGTGGGTTCTATAGATCTAGGCCTCTAACATCCCAATAGATAAAATAACAGTGTCTTTCGACCAATTCACAGACAGTACACTACAGTGACTGTGCAATGTGTAGGTCTATCAGATGTGACGTCAGATGCACAGCGCAGTGGGTGACCTTGATACATGACTTCGAATTCAAAACTGGCCATTCAAAGACAAAGTTTGTTTAAGCTTACATGGCATCAGATCAGGTTCCCGCGTGAGTCACTTTGCTTCTTTTGAAACGCTGATTTCGAACAAGTTTTTAGCTGCGATAATTGTTTCTAAATTTCTGCAAACAAAGTCTAATCCTACGCGTCGGCAAATTTTAAACGGATTCTGCTTCACAGCTCGCCTTTCCCAATTCTGACAGTAGGGGTATATTACGAGATTAGTTAAAACTGACAGTTAACTGCTGTCCTTCCTCCTTGTGATTTTTAAATTAAAAATACTAGTATAGCCTACATGATGCAATTTTGATAAAAATCACTTCTTTTTTATGAAATTCTAAATCCAGCAGCCATTTTGGTAGTTTTGATACGCTGATTCCGAATTTGACATTGTTTTTACAATAAAACGTAGTGTTCAATAAGTTTTTTAAATAACAAAATCGATATCACCGGCGAGCCGCATCGATACCCTGATCAATACCATCAAGACGAGGTATTCGCTTAGCGCAGTCGCCTTTCCCCGGTCGAATTTTTCCGTGTTTAAAAATAGAGTCGCTGTTCCACGGTGCTTCGCAAAAAATGAGATTGAGAG